CCCCTGTGGTGGCTCTCTTACTACCTATGGAAAGCTCCCTTTCCTCACCATGGTCAGCCTTGGGCCTTCACCTCCGATTCTGTCCTAACTACGGAAAGGGGCCCAAGAGCCCTGCAGTAGAATTTTCTCCATCCACCTGGAGCCTATAGTCAAACTTGTGAATCAGCTCACCCTAGCCTCTCCCTCCTCCCCATCCTTCTCCCTTCCTTCCTCCCTCTTTCCCTTGCCTCCTACCCTTCTCCTCCAGCTCCTCTCTCTCTCTGCTTCTTCTCTCCTGTCTTCCTCTGTCCTTTTCCCCTTCCTCCCTTCCTCTTCCTCTCTTCTTCCCTCCTCCTTCCATCCCCTCCCCTCCTCCTCCTTCAATTCAGCTTAATTGCTTGTGTTCCCCAAAGCACCCTGCCCCTCTGTCTCTCCCTACCAAACTAATTAGTGCAATTATCTGTGCCATCCGTGGCTACAGATCAGTTAAAGCCTGTTATTGAGGTTAACAAATGAGAGGGTTAATTTTTCCTAACTGCTCCGTAGTTGGGAAAGGAAGATAATAACTCCTCATGTTTGTGCTTTTGCGTTCTCAGGCTCCCTTCACCCTGTGCCCAGCTGCCACCCAGAAAAGGGGTTTACCGTGGCTCTCCAGTCTCCGGAGCCCAGACATAAGTGGCTCAACTCTGAACTGAAGCATGGAATTCACCACCACACACCAACGGGCCCCAGCCTTGCTGGTTCAGGGTGGGAAGAGATTTTAGTGCTGTTTGAAAACATATTTCCAGGTCCTTCCTGAGCCAACTAGAGATGCTAACTTAAAACATTACATGGTAAATGGCTTTTACTAGGCAAACCAGTTGGTGCCCCCTATATTTCTCTGTCTTCGAGAATACTGAATTCACCCAGTAGGTCTGGCTGGTTATGAGCTACCTGGCTTGTCCGCTCTTTTTCCACTTCTATTTCCCCTGTAACCCGAGGAAGGTGATCCTGTGTCGCCGAGGCTGGGGAGCCCAGAGCAGGTGCCTCGTTTCTTTTGCTCTGGAGGGTTTTAGATCCCACGAGCCGACACTGAAGAGAGGAGCTGATAGAGCGTTCAAATTTTTTTTGTTATTTTCATGATTTCAACTAATTTTTCCAATAAGAATTGTGGGACTTTGGTAAATAAGTGAGAATGCATATCAGTGTCCCCACAGAGATGTCACAAGCTAGGGAAATGACCTGAATGTCACAGAATCACACACACAAAGCCCTCCACGCTTGGGTTTGGTTCTTTTGTTTTGTTTTGTTTTTTTGGTTTTATTATTTTTTGCTACAAACATATTTAGTCTTTTCAAAAACCAGAACATTTTGTACCAAAAATACACATTATTATTAAGTCCAGTTGCTCCAGTTAATTCTCATTATATCATTGTTATATATAAATTCTTTGAAATATTAATATTCACAAAAGTTTTTCTGATTATGAAAATGGTACTTTCTCACTGTAGAAGTTCTAAAAACAGAAACAGGAAAACTATAGGCAAAAAAATTCTATTATACAATATTCTCTTAATTTTCTATATATATCATGTACTTCTGCTAGACAAGATATCTAATCTCTTACATGTAACCTTTCAGTGCCATAAGAATTCTTTTTGTTTGTTTTGTTTTGTTTTTCTTTGTGTAGTCTTGGCTGTCCCGAATCTAGTTCTATAGACCAAGCTGGCCTTGAACTCACAGAAATCCACCTGCCTCTGCCTTCCAGTACTGGGGTTAGAGACCTGCACCACCACTGCCTGGCACCACATGAATTCTTTAAAAATCTCTTTTTGGGGTACTGAAGAGATGGCTCAGCAGTTAAGAGCACTTGCTGTTCTTGCAGAAGACCTGGGTTCAGGTCCTACCGCCAATAGTGGATGGCTCACAACCATCTGTTCCAGGGCTCTGATGTCCTCCTTTTTGGCCTTTGAGGGCACCTGCATGCACATGGTACACATATATACACTCAGGTACACACACACACACACACACACACAC